TGCTGTGAGCTACAATAGAGATATGCTGAATAAATCAAGCATGCATCTCAGTCCAGTAGACAATGCAAAGTTCTTTTTAGGTGTACTTTAATTCTATAAGTGTACAGCTTTGATAATCTCTTTGCTTTAGGAATCTGCAAAGTGCCTGCTGAATCTGAGCAACATTATTGTCATATAACAGAGGAAGTGAAACAATGTGCAACCTCTGGTCGGGCTAAAATGAAAGCCAAGTAAGTTTTGTTTCTTGCAAAAAGTAAAGTGAGACTGACTTGACCTTTCTTTTAAGAAGAATTCTGTGAAGAGAGAAAAAAAATCAGAGTGAAGTTTTTACTAACCTTTTTCACAGTATTTCATGCTTTTTACAAGTGATATGTTAGACGCCCCCAAGTGGGTTTCCCCTCCATGGTTGGGCAAACCTGTACCACTCATACCATAAACCCTTGTGTGAAATGTTTCAGTTCACAGACTTGTAAAATGTCTCAGTTTACAGTATACTACTTATTTTAATTACTGGAATGGGTAATGTTTAATCCCATCTGTCTCAGATATTGAAAACATTTTTTATTTTTATATATTTTTAGGTGAATCTGTACTTTGCACATAGCATGAGGTCTAATAGTATGAGGTCCAAATCTTTGGTTAGAAAAGTAACTGCCAGTGCTCACCAATATTTTAGTCTCCCACTGCTGCACTGCTCAAGAAATACCCAGTTCTTATGGATTTGGGGAACATCTGCAACTCCAATAAAATAACTTGAATAATTAAGTGACTATCATGGATTCTTGGTATTGCCCGACACATTCTGCATAATGCATATCACTATATTGGCACAGAAATAAAAGCTCTGGACAGTTATGGCCTGACTGCCCAGGGATTGCCTATTGCTTGGTTCTCGTATAAACATGTGTGCATGTGGAGAGGTGCAGCGTGGTGCAGGCAGTAAACACACAGAGTTCGGTTGCAGCAAAACTTGGAACTTATATTAAATAGAATGCCAATATTTGAAACAACCTGGTGGGAGAGCACAGCTAGGGAAACAACTCAGTTCACTGTAGTCAGATGTAGAGGAGGAGAGGTGCCGACAGCGGCTGTTGCACAGGATGAAGTGCGGCCTGGCCAGTCCGGTCCAAAGGGGGAGTATCTAATCCAGGATAACGAGTCCCAAATATTTCCCTCCTCATCAGGAACCTCTCCCTACTGCTAGTTCCTTTCCCTAACCAGTGGGTCTCTCGCCCTACACTAGCCACACGCAAGAAGCTCCACAAAACTTGGGGACAGGGCCATAAATAAACCTTGCTGACCCAAGATGGCCACTAACGGTCACATGAGCGCAGTGTAGCCAGCCGGAATGCTGCTCCATTGACCCAGAAAACCATAGAGAAATTATGTTTCTCTTGGACTTCTTCTCCAAGCTGCAATGCCACTCAGTTGAGTGCCACCTACAGTGGAGAAAACAAACCGCACCTGCCGACATGCATGGATCTCCAGCCTGTTTATATTAATGGAGTGAGAAACCTAAAGCATTGGCTTATGTCAGGTGGAAACAAGAGCAGTTGAATAAGGTTTTCTAATCCGGGCAGTGAGTCTTTCTACTCCCTAAACTTGGTATGGGCATTCTCTAGTGCTCAACAATCAACTGGATTTCCTGTTTGGGATGACTAGTAAATGATACGTGGTGGGCTTTTCCTTTACATGCAGACAGAGAGCAGAATAATGAGGGCATAATGAAAATTCAAACCATTTGATGACATGCAGTTCCTTTATTTACCCGTGTGATCTCAAACCCTACCTACTCTGGCCAAATGCAGAGAAAAAGGCAAATTTTGCTAGTTGTAAGGTAAAAGTTTAAACATATCTGTAGATCCTTTTGGTGAATATATTTGTATCTTTACCAACAGTAGAAGGATTCTATCTTTACCAACAGTAGAAGGATTCTTCTTACTGCACCTGTGCACCACAGCCAGATTTACTTATGTGGGTGAGCTGGTATCGTTGCTGCCTCCAGTGGTCCAGCAGAGTTCACCAAAAGGAATGAGTAGAGCAGTGGCAATGCAGTAAGAGGTGAAAGGCTTTTGCTGCATGGTACCGGGCAGGCCCACACAGTAAAGATTGCTGCAATGGGGAGAAAGGTAGGTATTTTATCAGACAGGGGGTTATTTAGGAAACAACTGAAAGTACAATTGTCATTTAAAGTGTACCCGTCATTTTCTCAGAGTGAAGAAAGCTGTTCTGAGATACCTAATCTAGAATCTGTTGATCTTGAATCTTTACTTCAATAAGGCATTTAAAATGTGTTCAGCTATTATATCTACTTAAATATTGCAAAAATGTTGGTGCAGGCTTGTTAAAGGATAAGTTCACCTTTCGGAACATGTTACATGTTACACCCATATTCAGGGTGTAACATGTAACATGTTACGAATAGACGGCCCCCGTACCCCCCGATCTCCATTGCAACAGCTAGCGGGGGATCATCTCCCTCCTGCTAGCTGTCAAAATTTTAAAAAAAAAAACGCGGCTGTTCGGGGCTGTGCCGCCCGACCGCGTCACTCATTCACAGTATTCTGTGAATGAGAACACTACAAGTCCCGACAGTCTTTATGGCTGTCTGCTTGTAGTTCGCAATGAACTACCTCGGCACTGGGCAGTGTTGTGGTAGCTCGAGTCTACCTATCACTAGTATCTATGAGGTGTACGGGCACACAGATACAATAACAGATCTGCAGGAGACTTGCATGACACCAGTAATCTGCTGATCACTGGTGCAATGCTTTACAGGATCCAGAAACAAAAAATAATAAATGCACATTTTTGTACCTGCATTTATTATTTTTTGGTAAAAGGTGAACTTTTTTTCCTTTAACAAAGCCAGAAAAAGAAATGTTGTATAAAATGTAATGATCATCATCATGATAATAAATAAATACACAAAATAAAATAAAACATATACTGTAAAAGGTAAATATTAAATACAGCATAGAAATATTTTGCATTCATTTTATCTATCGGCAGGTTAAGCTCTAGGCTTCTGCTCAAGTTTTAAAGGCTCTCAGTTAGCTTTTATGATGAAGAAGCCTGTGGTTTACGCAGCTCAATAACTCATCAGTAGTGACATTCCAGTGACTGATGGCTTAGTCCAATATTTTGATCATACAGTGTCAAGTGCCCAGAAAAGGAGCCCGAGATGATTAGAGCAGTCTTTCTTACTGGTTCAGTCCATACACCCTTGGCTTGGAGAGAATATAGCAATGAAGTAGTTTGGAGTGATGGGGAGATGTAAGTTACTGATCAGATGATGTCAACACACAAGCCAGGGTCAGCAATGGGAAGGCAATTTGGTGCCAAATCAGTGGACAGAAATCGAGTCAGGAACAGACTGACTCATAAACTTCTTGGCAGCAAGGAACCAGAGTGTTGGTCAAAAATAGTAGTTGGTGAAACAAGTCGAAGTCCATACAGGAGAAGGTGATGAGATAAGAAAAAGTAGGAACAAGCCATGTCAGTATAAAGAATGAGGTTGTAGGATCACAAGTCAAATATATGCAGCTGAAGGCCTTTCAGCACTGGGGCCTGGCAGGACTTAGCTTTATATAGGCTGTTTGGTGCCATTGTGGTCAATGAGCATGGACAATTGCAGGTGCTCCTGCTTGAAGCTAGGCAGACTGGCATGATTTTTCTGGCAATCAGAAAGTGAGAAAGATGGAGGCAAGCAAGCACCACAGAGAGGTTTTCTAAGCTACCCTCCCTGCACCAATTTCAGCACCAGTATCATCTAGACTAGTCGAACTTTATAGTAATTCCTTCACTGTATCAAGAATTCTAACATACAAGGAAAAACACTGAAATATTTTGCCTTCTGCAAAAATGTAGTGCAAGGTACAAATACCACACGCAAAATGCAAGAAAAAGGAGCAGCAAGCCAGGTCTCTGTTTACTGAAGCCAGTACTGCCTATGTTCATTGCATTTGGAATGACCTTATTGGCAAAGGGTGAGTGTGTAATCTAAATGGATCTCCTACCCAGGAGTTATATTTTACCATTGATATTTAACTTTGTGTTATGGTCAATTCACACTACAAAAACACACTCTGGATACGTTTTTGCTTACAGTTCACACCACACGCAGCTCTGGTGCAATTTTGATGAAGTTTGCTATGTTCCAGTATGATTCTGTGCAGAAAAAATGCAGCATGTTCTACTTTTTTTTCTGCACTGCAAATGGACTGGAACTGACTGGTGTGAACTAGGGCCACTGGATTACATGGAAAACACTGTGCATGCATTTTTGATTCAGAAAAAAAGCACACTGAACTGCATCTAGTGTGAACTAGCCCTAAAGTCTAATTTCCTACAAGTAAGTTGTTCACCATTCATAAGATCATTTAGTTTGCCTCAGTTTTTTTATTTCAACATAATTAATTAAAGTGTTAGTAAACTCTTTTTGTATAAGTTTACCTACATGTAAGCTTATAATAAAGCTTACATGTAGATAAAATGGATATCTCCTAAACATGCACTGCTTAGGAGATATTCTCTCTTTTTTTACAGCTAGCGCCATTCCTTTAGAACACATGCAGGACATCATCGCAACTCGGCTAGTCGGATGGCTGGGGCTCGTTAACCTGGAAGGAAGACCGGGTGAAGATTGCTGAATCTGCAGTGTTGACAATACGCCGCTGGAGGGCTTCATTTTAAGGTTAGTCCTTCATAATGTGCTAGTATGGAATGCACATACCTTGCAGGGGAAATTTTTCTTTTGTTTTTTAGATGAGGTTTAATTGAGTAAAGAAAATGGAAGCAAAGGAATATACGCTACACATAGCGACCTATCAGGTTTTACCATTTGTTAAAAGTGATAAGGAGCTGGTTACAAAGGTCAGTGGTATATTTAGGTTTCGTGCTGCCCTAGGCAACACAAAAAAAGTCTCCCCCCCACGGAGAGACCCTGCCATCGACCATCACCCCCCTCTCCCAAGAAGAGTGCCTGACATTGACCAACAACACCCCAGCCCACCCACCTTTACCCGAGAAGAGAGCCTTCCACTTACACAGCCCCCTATACACTGGCAACACCCCCCACCCCGGCGAGAGATAAGACACTCACCTTCACAGCTCCGGACATCCCTGGGAACAAGAGTCAGGCTCTGCATACACCATCAAGCAGCCCACAGCCTCTCTCAGATCCCACTTGGTCCCCATGCTGTGTGTGTCTCTTCTTCCATCCCTTCTTTAAAGGGGCGGCGCTGCCCCCCCCCCCCCCCGAAAATTACCGCTGCCCCTCTGAAAGATGCTGCCCTAGGCAAATGCCTTGTTTGCCTTGTGGTAAATACACCCCTGACAAAGGCACGTTGCTTCTGTTTTTTTTCTCTTGCTTTTCTAAATACATCTCTATGTCTTAGTTGGGATTGTCCGGTGACCTGAAACGACCTTATTATAGCCTCACATGTACCATAATAAGGCTAGTTTTAACTTAAACTCAGTAGACTCATTTCACTGAATTATGATTGTCAATTGTAAGGAAAGTCATTCATTTTGAGTGATGAAAGCCAAAGTGAGTAGCAAATAACTATTGTTAAGGCATTAAATGTGCATTATAATTTAGGGAAATTATGTTTACTGGTTTGAAAACCTTTCATGTGCATGCTGATTCTGTGGCATGTGTGATTTACATATTAGGAAACTATTATGCATATAAAAAAATCTGTTGCACTATATTTTCACATTATTTTAAAATGGAACAAAATCATTTCTGATTTACAAAAAAATCCTATTTCAATTAGTATTTGTATGATGAAATGGAGATATTTGATTTAACCCTTATTTCTAATATCTCTGTTTCAATATTATATTTAAAGGGGCCTCTAGGCCAACTATAATAATAGCTGTTGTTAAACTGATGGTAGAATATTGGTCCTGCATCCTTGGGTGTTTAAATATCCCCCTTCCCAAGTATTTGGATGAATCATTTTTCAGAGTATTATCAATGGTCTACCACAGTTAATCAATTAATCTTCCTCTTTTTAATTAGTAGCAACATCCTGTTTTTTTTAATTAGATTAAATATTAGACTGCAGCAAATGACAGCAAATTTCCACAAGCTATTCAGATGTATGTTCCATTCCATTTGTGTGTAAAACACTGGTAGGCATCACAGCTCGTTTACTACGAATTTCCTGCCTGAGCTTACATCAAGGACGGTAGCAAACTCACTGCAGACGCATATATCATACACAGGAAGCTGCGAGAGGAAGCATTCTAAACCACTGATCCTCTTGATTCTGCAGAACAGGGAGCTTGCTGTCTGCTAATAATGGAATATTCCACCATACATACCCTGTTTTGTTTGTTTAAATGTGCTTTTATCTATTAATAATCTATTTTTCCTCCATATTGAATTTCCCTCTGCGTAATGAGCCAATCATTTGCATAGCTTTTCTTCTCTATCCCACCAGGAGACTGTGACAGCAAGGAGGACAATGGTGAGGTTACATGACTTAATAATAATTAAAGTAACTATGGTCAGACTATAAAATCGCATACCTTATATAGGCTGCCCATGCCTCTAAGACTGGCCTGTTTATCTAAGTACACATTCTGTAAATAGCTGTTGATCCTATCAGTAGGACCTCTGCTGCCATTGCAGCTGCATAAATGGTGGCACCATTGATCATTCACTCTATCAGTAAATAGCCACACTTAATTCTACCCATAGCCCTTTTGATTGATACCATATTGCTCTATCTGCTTTATTTTAGGGAAGTTATATAAAACCTGGGCTCAGTAGCAGGGTGTGGACTGACAACTCATGGGGCCCCCGGGCAATAGGGGATCATGGGGCCCCTGTGTCCTTGCCCAAACTCAAAAAAGCCTATGAAAAAGGTACCAGGGGCATCTCATGGGGCCCCCTACTGACCCTGGGCCCTCGGGCAGTGCCTGAGTTTCCAAATGGTCAGTCCGCCCCTGCTCAGTAGCTCACTCCCCCTTTAACTGCTTCTAGCACTGCCTGGCAGGATGCAAGGAAAATCCAACTGTTCAGCTACACTTACCATGCTTTTTTATCAAACTTAAAGGAGAAAAAAATGTGAAGTTTTAGATTAACGTTATTGTGAGTAACCATCATAATTTTTTACTTTTATTTATTTATTACAGGCCAATTTATGCAATGCTTTGCTTATATGTTGTACATTCCCATCAGTCCCTAACCCTCAAGGGGCATACAATATAAAGTCCCTAACTTACATTCATGCATACACATACTAGGGACAATTTAGACAGAATCCAATTAACCTACCAGCATGTCTTTTGGAGTGTGGGAGGAATCCCACACAGGCACAGGGAGAACATGCAAACTCCAGGAAGGTTGGGGTTTGAACCAACGACCCCAGTACTGCCATGTGGAAATGCTAGCCATTTAAACACTGATATTTATCATGTGTAGCACTACCCCCTTGAGGTCCTGGCTGTCTCTCTCTCTCAGCGGATGGGGGCCCCCACAGGTTGTCCGGCCTAACTTGCTGTGTTCCGTCCGGTCACTGTTCTCCAGGTCACCTGCTGGCGACTGTCTCACTGAACACGGTGGCAAGGCTAGCGGTCAGCGACTCCTCCTTGCCTCTCCTCTCTCCAGCTCTGTGAGAGAGCACAACTCTCTCTCTGCTTCTGCTCTCCAGCGCTCTCTCCTCTCTTTGTTAAACCAGCACTTCTTCCTGTCCAGTCTCCCGGGTTGAAATTTCTTGGTTACTGGCACCATTGCATCCTTCTCTATGTGTTCAACAATCACGCCCACCACCACATTATGGAAGAAAACAGCAATAATACACACAGTCCAAGTGCGATATAAGAGCGTGTATTGGATCAATGCAGTCACAACAAACACGGTGGGAAGACAGCGCAACGGAGGACACTCAAGGATCCCAACAGCGAGCAAAGAGAAGATTTCACCCGAACCAACAGCGCCATTGATGAGGGGCAGAATGCAGCAAAGCAGTAGGATGTTCAGAGAGGTTGCGAGTCCTAACGCTTTCCCTCCTCATCAGGATCCCTGTCACTAGTTCTGTCCCTACCAGGCGTAATATCTGACCCTAGTCTACCCACTTGGAAATGTATGCCAAAACCTGGGAGCAGGGACTTATAAAGCCTCTGCTGACTCAAGATGGCTGCGAAGGGTCACATGGATGCAGTGCGGCCAGCTGAAACACTGCATTCAGGGACCAGGAAACCATAGAGAAACTTCAAAACCTTGAGGAAAGCCTTCCTAGAAATATGGAGGCTGTTAAAGCTGCAGACAGAAGGCCAACTCTATATTGGTGCCCATGGTTTTGGAATGAAATATCCATAAAGCTCATAAAAGTCTGACGGTCAGGTGTCCACAAACGTTTGGCCATATAGTGTACCAGTCTACCTTAAAATAACAGATTGGTACAGTTATCCCAAGGTCTGAACAAAGGGTTTATGTAAAGATAAGTGCTGAATGTTTCTTATTGGGCAACTTAAATAATTATGTTCTGTGCAAAAATCCAAAGGATCTTATATTTTTCTTCTTCTATATATTTATCATTACATGCTGACACTTTCTAAAGGTGTGTGAGGTTTTCTTCCTTTAATTAAACTGAAAAGTCAAATTATCACCTCCTCTAAATCTCTGACTCTGCTTAATTAGAGTACCTTTGCCCAGAAAAATTCTTGCTTTAGCTGCTAACAGAATTCTGAGAATTCTACAGGGTGGAAGCTTTATCACACTGCCTGTACAGCATTCCGAGAAAAGAACGGGGGGGGGGGGTAACAAAAGATGTCTTTGCAAGCTTTCTAGTGATGTGTTCCTTTTGTGAAGTGCCAGTGCTGATAAACCTGATACACATCCCCATGGCATATGTGCCTCTTAGTACAGGAAAAAGTAATAGACCATTGACATAAAATAATACGTGATACAATTTATAGGAAAATAACTCAATAAGCCATTGTGAGTGACTCTTAATACCTTACTAAGATAAGGCGTAGAGCTCCTAATTACAAAGTCCAAGAGATTTCTAAGTATTGTTTATACCTGTTCAACTTCAGCACATTGTGGAGTTCCCTTAGTTGTTATGGCTTTTTCTATGAAGTAAGTGTTTGTGTATTTTGCTATATTGACCTGAAAAGCTTGCATCATTCACAAATAACCTTAAGGAAGCAATTTAAGGTGTCAAACTGTTTAAAGATTTTAAACTTTCAAAAAAACAAATAAAACTGTTGATTAGGATAATGCAATTTGATTGTCCACTTATCAGACTTACTACTGACAAGTCTGTTCTGCTGACTCTGAGCCAGGAATTAATTAGTGCTGCCCTTTCCTCTTTGCCCCCACTCCTGTATTAAAAAAAGGTGAGGTATAGCTGCATAAAGTTCATTTTTCTAACTCCTCTCACCATCTTCTGTAATTGGAGCATGCCATGAACGATGGTGTTCTCCACAGCCCACACACAGTGCTGACGAGTCGGCAAAGGAGATATTTTCTTTTAATATTCACCCCCTAAGGGGAGTCAATATTTTTGCTTGCACCTTCGTGATATGAGACTTATCTACTGATATTTACAGCAGTCTGACTTGGACTTCACAAAATGATAATTTGTCAATTTCAAGTGATATTTTCAGCCTGCCATAGAATAATTTTGTTCAATAGTGATGGTTATGGTACCTAAACATGTTACGAATTTAAGATGACTTTGTCACTTGTATGTGCCTGCACATACAGTATTTGTGGAAGCTTATTTCATCTGTCCACCTAAATACTGTGCCATTCTTATCAGACAAAACTCTGAATTTTCCTGGAAGTGACTGAGCTTGCCTTGTCCCCTCATGCCTCCTACACATTCTTATTGGTCAGTGAGTCTGCCTATCATAGCTATGGACCAATAGGAATATATGTGCGTAAATGCTGTCAACACTTTTGCCCATTCAGTGCAGCATTTAAACATAGAGGAGGAAATGAAGGGTGCTGGGGGTTGTAGGTGTAGGCATGTCTAGATGCATGCATTTTATACCTTCTAGCAGACTCTGATGCTTCAAAATTCAAAACACATTTAAAAATATGAAAAAAGCACAACAAACCATGTTCTACAATTGTCATGTGCTATTTTAGTTTGGATTAAAGTAGAGAAAGGTTAGAACCTCTGTTGGGTTTCTATTGCTGTCTGTGCCCCTTTTGGGGAGATTTCCATTCATTTCAACAATGGGAATGTTAATACGGTTTTAGTAGAGTAAGGGGAGGTTAGAATCCCTGTCAGGTTGTTATTGCAAACCTGTGCTTTCTTCTGGTTTCAGTGAGATAAAATGTCAACAAAAATCTCACTAGAGCCAAAACAGAAAGAAAAAACCCAACAGA